AATCTGTCCTTAATGTGGGGGAGGGGGGGGGGTGCGTGGAGGAGACCTTTTCAGCAAGTCTGTCCCTTAATGTGTTGGGTGTTGGTGGGGTGTTATGACTACTTACCAATTGTCATGGCCTCTCTGAAATATCTTATTAGATTGGCAAGAGCTCATTCAAGTTTGCGTGGATCCTGGACAAGCTGAAGGTGGAGAGGGAGCGTGGAATCACCATTGACATCTCGCTGTGGAAATTCCAGACCAACCGATATACGATCACCATCATTGACGCTCCCGGTCACAGGGACTTCATTAAAAACATGATCACTGGCACATCCCAGGTTTGTGGTTTCCATGGTGTTTAGGGCATTGAGGCATTTGGGTCTTTATCTACATGGCTTTGGGGTCCTGGGTTCAACTCAATCTGGTCCCTTTTCTACATGGCATGCTTCTACTTTGCTGGGCAAACTGGGTGGTTGTTGCGTTTCATTGACAGTGGTGGTAAAGTCAAAAGGGTTTTAAATTATTTCAAATGTTGATTTAAATCACTTACAATGGATACTGCTCCTTGATGATTAAAAGTTTATTTCCTGTTGAATCAGCTGGTCCCCTGACCACTGGCCTGGATATCCTGTCTAGGGTGGCTCCTTTCCCTTGTGGTGTCCTATAGTGTGCTAGTAAGCGGTGTCTCCACAAACACACAGGCACAGCAGGCAAGTCACTCCCCTGCCCACTGCTCACCTCTCCTCCCTCAAACTAGTAGATGAACATCTGCTGGAGACTGCACTGCGTGGTCTTGTATTGGACAGGTGGTTTGGGGAAGCCCAGCTGAGAGAGCTCTTTAAAAACATGACTAAGTGCTTGAGCAAAAAATGTAAAATACTTTGCTGGGCAATGTTTGTCTGCTCTGAATTCATTTATTGATAAGAAGACTTCTTCAATACTCTAAGGAGAATTTCTGGTTTAGTGGTATGTGTCAGCACACGATGCATTTCCCCTGATCCATAGACTGTGTGCCTGGATTTCTCCTCCTGTGCAGAAATTCTGGCAACCTCTATCCAGGTTTTTGCTTGGTGCCACCTGGCAGGTCATTGTGGGCTGTGGCAGACCTAGTGCTCTGACGTTTGAAAGTCTAACCGAGCAGCCATTAAAAGCTTGGCTTGAATTTAGTGATGGATGGAATTGTGCCGATACACCAACACATTGTTGCAGATACTTTATTTTGTAGACCAGAGCTATAACCAAATGTTTTGGATAAAGCAGGGATTAGTCGGAACCCCTATGAAGTTTTACTGCTATGTGGAACTTGGATATTTTTTGCTAATTTTCTGTTGTGGGGACAATTTTCTTTACCAGAAAGGAAGTGAAGCAAAATATGCAATTGGGAAATGGGGCAACAAAAACAAAACAATGGTTCTAGTGTTCCGCTTATCTTAAAAAGCAGTTTAACTTCTGTATGTGTTATGGACAGAGCTTCTTTCACTTCCTGCCCGGTGAAACGGTTGTACTCCAGGACAGTGAGTGAGGGGAAGGGTAATTTCTGAGTTCTGCCGCTGTAAAACCCAACAGGGGTAATCTTCCTTCACTCTATCCAAAATGTTTTGTATATAGATGCACTTTAAAGGAAACGCTCATATTGATGCCATACTAAAACATGTGGATTAGTGTCCAGTTTTGGATAGTGTGGAAAGATTACAACCTCTGTCCAGAGACTCCCCCCTTGCTGTCATGATGGCTTCACTAGACCAAAAGGTAAGAAAAGCCTTTAACGACAACAGAACCCAAAATTAAAGCTGCTTGTTTTAGCAGGGTGGTGCTGGTTTCAGTAGAGTAGTGAAAGGTTAGGACCCTTGTCGGGTGAAGATGTTGTCAATATGACCAAAGGGAAATTTGGGTCTGTTGAATATACTAGTGAAGTTTGTTTCAAAAACTGATCACGCCAGAAATTCAGTGCTGTCCTGTCCACTCTGCAGTGTCCTCTGCCATGCCCAGCTTGCTTCTGAATTTCAGAATGCTTCTGCCATTTTCAAGGAGAGGTTTTTATTGTCTTCCTGTCCTAGGGTGACAATGCTGCTCCTCCATAGAGAAGTACAGTGAGTGAGCATCGTCACCCTAGCACATGAAGGAATACTGGCAGGATCACCAGGTGGATAAAGACCTATAATGGCCATCTAATGCAGCCACCTCGTCATAGTAGTAATGCTGTTTTGTGCTTGGATTTGGATGCACTTAAATATTCTGTTTGGTTTCAGGCTGATGTAGCTGTGCTGGTGGTCTCTGCTGCCACAGGAGAGTTTGAAGCTGGAGTGTCGAGGAAAGGGCAGACCAGAGAACATGCCTTGCTGGCCTACACCATGGGTGTTAAACAGCTCATTGTCTGCGTGAACAAGATGGACATGACTGACCCACCGTACAGCCAGAAGAGGTTTGATGAAGTGGTCAGGAACGTGACTGTTTACCTCAAGAAGATTGGCTACAACCCAGCCACCATTCCATTCATCCCTGTGTCTGGGTGGACTGGAGAGAACATATCTTCTCCCAGTCAGAAGGTAATGGGTCCAAGTAGATGAATTGAAGTGATTACAACTGGGGGCAAAACACGCACATTGTGATGTGTAGGAACTTTGTGTGCAGAAGTTTCACATAAGCATCTGGGGTGCTTGAGAGTATTTGTTCTCTCTAAACCCCACTGCCTTCTGTTGTGATCACAAGACAGACTTGGGTAGGAAGATGCACCACATGTAACACTCCTGCAGTAATGGATGAGCTGTCGATCTGGCCTATCCTCAAAATATGTAATTTTGGATATGGTGGGGGAAGAGCTTATTGAGTTTTTCTGCTGCTGCCTCTTCCTAACTTGTGTCCAGTTTTCCTCATGTCTAATCAATGCCTTGTCTTTAGGAAATGACAGTTGTACCATGTGGCTGGTATTTAACCTCTTTTATTCTTTCAGATGAGCTGGTTTAAAGGTTGGAAGGTGAAACGAAGAGAGGGCTTTTCCAAGGGCCAATCTCTGCTTGAGGTCCTTGATTGCCTTGTTCCCCCTGTGCGTCCAGCCAATAAGCCACTTCGCTTACCTCTGCAGGATGTCTATAAAATAGGAGGTGAGTCACTCAAGGAAACTGTCCTAAATACCTAGAGGCACATTTATAAACACTGGTTTCCTTGGAGGACTGCTCTAGATTCTCTGTTCCAATCAGCTTCTTCAGTTTGTTCAGTCAGCCCTGGTTCACACCTAGGCAGCACAGATTTTGTGAACTTGTACGCGAATTAGCAGCATGTGGTTATTTGCATGCGTGTTTTTGCATGTACATTAAGACTCGTGTTTTGTTTGGCAGCTCATAAACCATTGTGGTTTAAACAATAAAAGAATGAGTGTATAAATGCACAAATGCTCACGAAAATGTGCAACATGCTTCTGTTGCGTGGTTTTTGGGCACTTCCAACGAAGTCTATGGGGAGGAAAAGTGCTTTCAACACCCCAAAGCTCCTGTATCATTTTCAGGCGTCTGTCATTTTTCTGCTCGGGTGTGAACCAGGGCCATTTGAAAATTATGGGATTTCTTGTGTGGGACAGTCTTAAAGTACTTTTTGAATGGCTCAATTGCCAGACCACGGCTTAAGGTCTGAAAATGAAAGAAGCTGATTGGTTGCTTCATATTCAGTCTGCTCAAGTCTTAATAAATTCCCCTCATGAGTTTGAGTTCAGCTTGGGAGCCTTCAGATGAAATGACTGTCCTACTGCCAATAGACAATGACTGCCCATATTCTCAGCATCAGTTTGTGTCCCGGAATTGACCTTCCAGAACCTTGTCCCTTATACAGCATCTCTGAATACTACTTTATACTATTCCTGGAAGGACTCTTGTGCTCTATTCTACTCTTGAAAGCCTTTTTACATGCTGACAATGGATCATGTATTTGGGCGTAGACATTTCAATGAAGGTTCTATGCTGCTGACGGACATTGTAAATTGGTCACCAAAACCTTCTTGCCTTAATAGCTTGGCACAGAATAGGACCATTGCTACTATTAATGGCAGGACAGCATCTGCTACACTTCACCTTAACTTTCAGATACAAGTGTGCCAAAACAAAGTGACACACAACAAACCTGCATGCTGTCCCATCAAACACTCAAACTTCCTGGTGCTGCACATGTAAATGATGTATTCCAGAATCCTGCTGCACTCCTTACCGGGTATGCCTGTCAGCATGGGTGCTCGAAGTGACTGAGGATGGCACTGCCAACACTGAAACTTGTTAAAAATGCCACCAGCACACCATATTGAAGTGAGGCACACATCTGTTGACTCACATCTGTTGACTCCATGTCAAAACATATGGCAATGTTTCAGGGCCACACAGAGTACCCATCATTAGGCTTGTAATGACAATCACTTAAAGCCTGACGAAGTGGACCCCTTTGTGGCGCCGGAATGTTGCTATTTGTTTTGACATGAAGCATCAAACAGAAGTGTTCCTCACTTCAATATGGTGTACTGGTGGCATCTTTAGCACCTCTAAATTATGTCTAAATGTTTGGTTGCCTGACCTCATACCTTTATTATATTTCCAAAGGTATGTGGCCACCCTCCAGATTGTGTTTAGGGGTTTTAGTGAAGGGCATTAATGCTACAGCATACAAACATTTTAACAATTGTGAAATTCCAACCTTGTTGCAAGCTTGGCTTTGTACCTCCTGTGTACAAAGCTAGATTTATATAAACAGTGCAAGCTTGGTGTTGAACTTGAGGGTACTGCACAGTGCCCTGACTTCAACCCTAATGAACACCGCCTGGGAGGAGTCGAAATGACAAATCAAAAGACAGAAGTGAGGGCGCAAAGCTAGGGGGGGTTATCTAGCTGGGCTGAACGTTGCAAGAGGAACGGCAAAATGAAATGGTGTACTTACTGGTGTGGGTCCGAGGATCGGGATGAGGACCGGTCTGTGGGAGGATCGTGAAGTCAAAGATATGTGTTCTCAATGGAGGCTGGTGTGCTGCCTGAGGCTGCTCATCTCGAGAAGGTGAGACGGAGAGGAGGGGGAGCGGGTGGCGGCACAAAGATTTTGTCTGTATCCCCGCTGCTGTGATGAGAAGTTCCGGCAATGTACACGGGTTTGGCTTCAGGTTTAAAAGTTCACGAATGTTTATATATAAAGCAGTCTTTGCAAATCTAAATGAGGTGATACCCGGATGGTAGTTTAACTGGAACAATCTGGTGATCTTGGTTGCACAAGGTATTCAAGTTCTCTAGTGAAGTTAATATACTGCAAGTTAATTTGAGAAAAACGATGTGCACATTAATTTTACTCTTGGGACAATTTTGCCCTTAACATGTGTTTGTAACCTGGATGTAGACCTAACACTCTGCACTTCTATCTCCTCCCAGGCATTGGTACTGTCCCTGTGGGTAAAATAGAGACTGGGATCCTGAAGCCAGGGATGACCATCTCATTTGCACCCTCACACTTCACTGCAGAAGTGAAATCTATAGAGATGCACCATCAGCCTCTGGACACGGCTTTCCCAGGGTACAACATTGGGTTTAATGTGAAGAACATTGCTGTGAAGAGTCTGAAACGTGGAAATGTTGCTGGTAACTCGAAGAGTGACCCACCTACCGAAGCCAGCAGCTTCACGGCACAGGTATGCTGCAGTGTCTGAGCTCCTGAAAATGCACCTGAACACTGTTCCTGGCATACACTGCAATTCATGTGGGTGGCAAGAGTTTGGATAGAACATGAACAATGAGGCTTTTCATTCCCTCGTGAAACCACTGACCCTTCTGTAGCTGCAGGAACTGTCCAATGATGAAAGCATATGTAAAGGTACAACTTTCTAGCTTTGGACAGAAGTGAGTAAAGGTTAGTTTGTCCTGGTGACCACTATCACCAAGAGAAAGTGAGGGAAAATGTAACATTGGTGGTCACCATAGTAGGTGAGGATATATCAATAGGACAATTCTGGTTCCAACAAACACTATATATACATATACATCAAAGTTGACAGCTGAAGCACTTTCACTCTGTCGGTAGATAATATGCTCCACTCCCAGAAGGAACTTGGCAACTTACCAGCCTTATAGTCTCAAACTTCTAACACTGAGCAGGAGTACATTAAGAGGGGAGAGCCGGAGTGCTGCGACTTGAAGGACTTTATGGCTTCTGTTGTAGACTTTGTAGCTGCAGGAACTGAAGCCTTTTGTCAAAGATCAGCGAGGGCTCATTTTAAAACTTGTTTACTGCATGTTAAGTTTGAACATTTCAATGTCCATAGTTGAAAAAAGTAAGTGCAACCTTAAAGACACTTGACACTTCAGCCAACTGGATTAAATGCTTTGCGAATGATGTACCTGAATGATGTACCTGAATGATGTACCTGAATGATGTACCTGAATGATGTACCTGAATGATGTACCTGAATGATGTACCTGAATGATGTACCTGAATGATGTACCTGAATGATGTACCTGAATGATGTACCTGAATGATGTACCTGAATGATGTACCTGAATGATGTACCTGAATGATGTACCTGAATGATGTACCTGAATGATGTACCTGAATGATGTACCTGAATGATGTACCTGAATGATGTACCTGAATGATGTACCTGAATGATGTACCTGAATGATGTACCTGAATGATGTACCTGAATGATGTACCTGAATGATGTACCTGAATGATGTACCTGAATGATGTACCTGAATGATGTACCTGAATGATGTACCTGAATGATGTACCTGAATGATGTACCTGAATGATGTACCTGAATGATGTACCTGAATGATGTACCTGAATGATGTACCTGAATGATGTACCTGAATGATGTACCTGAATGATGTACCTGAATGATGTACCTGAATGATGTACCTGAATGATGTACCTGAATGATGTACCTGAATGATGTACCTGAATGATGTACCTGAATGATGTACCTGAATGATGTACCTGAATGATGTACCTGAATGATGTACCTGAATGATGTACCTGAATGATGTACCTGAATGATGTACCTGAATGATGTACCTGAATGATGTACCTGAATGATGTACCTGAATGATGTACCTGAATGATGTACCTGAATGATGTACCTGAATGATGTACCTGAATGATGTACCTGAATGATGTACCTGAATGATGTACCTGAATGATGTACCTGAATGATGTACCTGAATGATGTACCTGAATGATGTACCTGAATGATGTACCTGAATGATGTACCTGAATGATGTACCTGAATGATGTACCTGAATGATGTACCTGAATGATGTACCTGAATGATGTACCTGAATGATGTACCTGAATGATGTACCTGAATGATGTACCTGAATGATGTACCTGAATGATGTACCTGAATGATGTACCTGAATGATGTACCTGAATGATGTACCTGAATGATGTACCTGAATGATGTACCTGAATGATGTACCTGAATGATGTACCTGAATGATGTACCTGAATGATGTACCTGAATGATGTACCTGAATGATGTACCTGAATGATGTACCTGAATGATGTACCTGAATGATGTACCTGAATGATGTACCTGAATGATGTACCTGAATGATGTACCTGAATGATGTACCTGAATGATGTACCTGAATGATGTACCTGAATGATGTACCTGAATGATGTACCTGAATGATGTACCTGAATGATGTACCTGAATGATGTACCTGAATGATGTACCTGAATGATGTACCTGAATGATGTACCTGAATGATGTACCTGAATGATGTACCTGAATGATGTACCTGAATGATGTACCTGAATGATGTACCTGAATGATGTACCTGAATGATGTACCTGAATGATGTACCTGAATGATGTACCTGAATGATGTACCTGAATGATGTACCTGAATGATGTACCTGAATGATGTACCTGAATGATGTACCTGAATGATGTACCTGAATGATGTACCTGAATGATGTACCTGAATGATGTACCTGAATGATGTACCTGAATGATGTACCTGAATGATGTACCTGAATGATGTACCTGAATGATGTACCTGAATGATGTACCTGAATGATGTACCTGAATGATGTACCTGAATGATGTACCTGAATGATGTACCTGAATGATGTACCTGAATGATGTACCTGAATGATGTACCTGAATGATGTACCTGAATGATGTACCTGAATGATGTACCTGAATGATGTACCTGAATGATGTACCTGAATGATGTACCTGAATGATGTACCTGAATGATGTACCTGAATGATGTACCTGAATGATGTACCTGAATGATGTACCTGAATGATGTACCTGAATGATGTACCTGAATGATGTACCTGAATGATGTACCTGAATGATGTACCTGAATGATGTACCTGAATGATGTACCTGAATGATGTACCTGAATGATGTACCTGAATGATGTACCTGAATGATGTACCTGAATGATGTACCTGAATGATGTACCTGAATGATGTACCTGAATGATGTACCTGAATGATGTACCTGAATGATGTACCTGAATGATGTACCTGAATGATGTACCTGAATGATGTACCTGAATGATGTACCTGAATGATGTACCTGAATGATGTACCTGAATGATGTACCTGAATGATGTACCTGAATGATGTACCTGAATGATGTACCTGAATGATGTACCTGAATGATGTACCTGAATGATGTACCTGAATGATGTACCTGAATGATGTACCTGAATGATGTACCTGAATGATGTACCTGAATGATGTACCTGAATGATGTACCTGAATGATGTACCTGAATGATGTACCTGAATGATGTACCTGAATGATGTACCTGAATGATGTACCTGAATGATGTACCTGAATGATGTACCTGAATGATGTACCTGAATGATGTACCTGAATGATGTACCTGAATGATGTACCTGAATGATGTACCTGAATGATGTACCTGAATGATGTACCTGAATGATGTACCTGAATGATGTACCTGAATGATGTACCTGAATGATGTACCTGAATGATGTACCTGAATGATGTACCTGAATGATGTACCTGAATGATGTACCTGAATGATGTACCTGAATGATGTACCTGAATGATGTACCTGAATGATGTACCTGAATGATGTACCTGAATGATGTACCTGAATGATGTACCTGAATGATGTACCTGAATGATGTACCTGAATGATGTACCTGAATGATGTACCTGAATGATGTACCTGAATGATGTACCTGAATGATGTACCTGAATGATGTACCTGAATGATGTACCTGAATGATGTACCTGAATGATGTACCTGAATGATGTACCTGAATGATGTACCTGAATGATGTACCTGAATGATGTAGACTTTCCCTGTTGTGACGATCTGTATATCTGTCCACTAAAACATCCTCCATAGTTGTGCATAGCAAGTTTGCAAAAAAAACTAGCTTTGAAATCTTGACTAGTACAAGATGGATTCTAATGGGTATGTTATGGGTTGCTGCAATAAAGAATTGGCACGTAAAGGAACCTGCACTAATGGGAATATGTAGACTTCCTACACATTCCTAACCTGCACAAGTTTAGATCAGTGACTCAAACCGCTGATGTCACAAGATCAAACGAAAGTGACTATTTCTGGAAAGCCCAATAATGCCCTCTTCCCATCTACTCTTTACCAGGCATCTCTTGCTACTTTGCAGTATGCTTTGGCCTTGCACTTGGCTGCTAGATTGGAGCTTGCATGCTCTGGACACGGCAGTGCTGGGTCTTGTCGGCTATGGAGGATGGACTGGTGAGACACTGCTGGAAAGATGTTTATTGGGGGGGCCCTTTCCAAAGATGCTATTGGGAATGTGTAAGGTGACAATTTCAGTACTGTGCACATGTAGCTAAAAACATTGGTTTTGGATACAAAAAAAGGATGAGAACCTCTGGTACAATTGTTGCCGTCTGTTTGACAAATGTCACCAGGACAAGAGGTCAAACTATCTAGCCAGAACAAAGTAAAGGAAAGCCTGAATTTTAGTTGTCACCAGAACAGGTGAAGTTGTGTCCAATGGCCTGTTTAGTATCTGCCAATAAAGTCCCTTGTTGGTGACCTCTGCCAAGAGGGAATTTATTACTTGTAGATATCCTCACTGCTGCTCATCTGGGACAGGAAGGGAGTGTAAGCCCTCCCCATACTCTAGCCAAAAAATGTTTGGCTATATACTCAACACACAAATCCACTTGTCTGGTCACCCTACATTTTTAATGACTACAGTGCATTAAGCTTGTCCTAATCTCATTGTCTTGTAGGTGATCATTCTCAACCATCCTGGGTTTATCAAAGCGGGCTACTCCCCAGTCATTGACTGCCACACAGCCCACATCACCTGCCAGTTCTCAGAGTTACAGGAGAAGATTGACCGCAGATCAGGCAAAAAACTGGAGGACAACCCAGCAACACTGAAGTCGGGAGATGCTGCAATTGTGAAATTAAAGCCCATCAAACCATTCTGTGTGGAGAGATTTTATGACTATCCACCACTAGGTGAGTACCCATCACTGTACTACGCTGACCTCTCATAGGGGGAGCTGACAGCAAGTGGAGGTATCTGGCACAAAACTGAAGAAAAGCTGCTAATACAGTAAAAATGCATAAGGGACTGGAGGTGTCTTGCACAGTATCACAGGGGTCTATGCTAATGAGATATTCAAATGGTTCACACTGTAGTAATGTTTCAAATTGTTTGTTTAGTTGTCTAAATTGATTTCTTTTACAGAATACAGCAAATCCTTAACTGATGCTAGAGGAACGCCTCGTGGCGGGGGGTTTAACTATTGAACAGAACTATATTCTTGTTCTAAGACTAGCTTATTTTAAGTTTGTATGAGACTGGCTCTTGGGATAAAGTTGGGGGATGCATATTATATAATTAGGCTTTTGATGGGAAAGTCACACAGGAAGCTTGACATTTGATGTGGGTCCCCTAGAAAAACCTTTGCCAGGATCAGGACATTCACACATAGATGATTAGGCTGTCACCACCAGATGTTGGCATATCAAGTTTTAATTGAAAAATGTGCTGATGACCTGCTGACACCTGTCCAAATGGTTACATGGCTATGGTCTTCAGTTGTATGTAGGTGTATTGTAACGACATGCAATCTGGTTTGCAGGGAGATTTGCAGCGCGGGACTTGAAGCAAACTGTTGCTGTGGGAGTTGTGAAATCTGTGGAGAGGAAGGCAAGCAGCTTGGCCAGAAGACAGGGCCAGAAACCCATCCAGGTCAACTGAGGAATTGAAACATCAGTTCTGCGTTCATTTTTTTTTCTTTTTCCCCCCTTTCTATGCAAGGCAGCTGAGGGAGCTGCTAATAATAGTGACAAAACCGAGTTGTGTTTAAGATTTTGTTAATAAAATGCATAGAAAACCGTATATTCTGTCTTGTGTCATAAGGATTGTGTACAGGTTCTCTTCCAGCAGCCCCGTGCTAACACAAAGCATCCAATGTAAAGGGGAATTCAGTCTAGTTAAGGCTCCTGGCTTTTTCTTTCCAATTTTGTTTTAAGTCTGTCTGGCTTGGGTAGCAAGCGGTTAGGCACATTCAACTTGACTTTTTGCAGCTTGTGAGTCAGTTCTGGAACATTTATAACCACACGAGAAATTAATCAAATCTGCATGGAATGTGTGAAGCCAGAGCTTCATTGTCCTACTGAATTTGTGGAATCCCCCCTAACATATAGTCCAATCCCTTCCCTTTGAAAGCCTGCAGCCTGTGTGAACACTTTAGTTTACATGGTGGAAGGTGTGAATTGTCAAATGCTGGAGGTAGAGATTATAAAACTGTTAAAAGACCCTCACCCCTGTTTTTATGGATGGCTGTTCCATTTTGACATAAAGGCCTCTACATTCTTCAGGGCTTGAACCTGTGCTTTTGCCACACAAAATAAAAATGTCAGACCACCCACTCCTATAGTCTGCAGAATGGTTTCACAGAATTGGATCTTTGGCAGGTTAAAGCGACTTTCCATGTTTATGTTCCATTCATAAGGCGTACGTAAAAGAGTGAGAAGATATTTTACATTTCTGAAAAGTCATTTGGGCAGGAATTTGTTTGGAAAAAGCTACTGTGAATAGTTTTAAAGGGAGTCGGTTCCCAGGGAAAGACAAGGGACAAAATCTGCTACCTCTTGGCACACAAGGCTTCTCCATCTTTAATCCTTTCGTTAGGACGGTGTTCAAATCTAGTTTCCAACCGATCTGCCAGTACAGTACACAGCCCCTCAAGGCTGGGTTCACACCTGGGCGTTCCAAATAGGCGCGTTTAATGCTCGTTTTTTGTTCACTGAAACACGTGTTTGACGCTCGTTTTTAACCTCCCTGGCGGTATATTTTTCTTTAACTTCCCACTGGTTCTGCCACCCTGCGACACGGACGCCCGCAAGGGACGGCAGCACCCGGAGGACACAGCAGGGATCGTGGACAAGGTATGACCTAGCTGTATTCCCGAGTTGTGGCTCAGGGTTACTGCTTTAACCACGAGCCATAATGGGGAATACCAATGGATACTTGCTGAAATACGCCCCAAAGAAGCTCCGGTACTATTTCAGGTGCAGGGCGTTTTCAGCGTGACAAATCGTGCTGAAACACGCCCAGGTGGGAACCATGCCCATAGGATTTCCCTGCTTGACTGTTTTTCAGCACTGAAACGGCCAGGTGTGAACCCAGCCTAACATCATAGTGGGGAAGCTAGGCTCAAAGATTTTAAAGCAAGTGAAGAGCACTTGACAAGAAGCTGCAATTTTTGGAAGGTTTTGTTATGCTTTGTGCATGGTAACATACAACATATAGGTGTTGTACAAATTTTACTTAAATTCCATGGACTGTTTTGCAACTTTTTTTTCTTCATTTCAATCCATTGGTGGACTTTTTAACCGATGCTAATGGAAGGGCACCAAAAAAATGAATGGGTGTAAATGGAGCTAGTAAACATCGGATCCGTTTGTGTTGAACAGTCGTGCATGTTCTTTTTAACTGTGTGGTGTGAACCAGCCCCATTCACACTCAGAGTGGGTTGTGTTTTTTTTTTTTGTGTGCCCTTCCCTTGCAAAACATATTGCAACTCCATGGATCCAGTGAATAGGCCCAAAGTCTCTATACATGCAACTTGCTGTACTTGGATGCATGCAGGGTTTTTTCCTACTGACAGTGGTTTTTAAGGTGTGGGTGTGCTTATCCCTTCACACTAGATCTGTTGCATTGTGGTCAGTTAACCACTTGCTGACTGGGGTGGTAAAACCCCTTCCTGCTAGCCCATTTTTCAGTACTTAGACTGACTTCTGTCATGGAACACGGTACTGAAACTTATTTTGTATAATTTTTTTGTGGGACAGATGGAGCTTTCTTTTGGAATTCCCCACGGGGGGGGGTTTCTATTTTCTTACTATAAAGAGAAATTCTGAATACCTGTTCCTACATTTGTTAAAACATTTTATCCGTACCAAATTTTTTTGGGTAGAACATAAAAGACAGGGTCACGTAGAGTAAAGGGACACCAAACATGTCGTCATGCTTTAAAATTGCAACCAACTACCATGCCTAAAATTGACCATAGGTGACGCTTTAAAAGCTTTTACAGCTCATCAGTTTAGTATCAGTGATCGATGGCCCTAAAATGATTGCTCACGTTTGTGGCAATATGTAACCTGTAGCGTAACAGTTTTCCGCACATAGGTGCACCTGACACGCGTTTACATTTAAAGTGTGTATGCCGTAGATTTTTCTTGACATTTTTGTTACTTGATTGCAATCACATAGGTGGATTGCATGTAATGGCTGTTTACATTCCTGGTGGGATTCTACGCAGGCCCGAAAGCAATCACTTACGTGTACGTTCCCCCATGTTTTGACAATGGGCGGAAGACGTGGTTAATCAACAGATGGGAAGGGTGCTGAAAATGGGTGTGAATGGAGCTAGTTCACACTCCTCCATTCCATTGCGGTTTAATGCGCTGAAAAGTAGAAAATGCACTTTTCTGTGCACCACAATGCAATGGATCTGGAATTGGCCTGATCTGTTTCAGTGTCCTTTCATTTAGCATCCATTGAAAAACTGATTTTGGAAGGTACAATTGCAAGGCAAGGGACCCTCCAATGACTTGCCATTTCCTTCCACTTTTGGTGTGAATGCATTGCAGAGAGTATTCAGTGGTATGCAAGTTGAAGTTTTTGTAAATGGGTAAGAAGAAACCTTGCTGCACTCCTTACCGGGGATTCACATAATATGGAGACGGTTGCTCGAAATGACGCCTCCACCACATATAGACAAATAGGAAGATGTCACCAGCGCTCCAACCGATAACCGCAATCAAATGCTCATTTATTGACCAATGCTGTCTCATTAGCAAGTGCTTTTGGGGCCACACAGAATCCCCATCACCTCTGAGCCTGGTGAAGTGGACCCTGTGTGGCCCCAAAAGCGCTTGCTAATGAGAGACAGCATTTGCCAATAAATGAGCATTTGATTGCGGTTATCGGTTGGTGTGCTGGTGACCCCTTCCTATTTGTAAATGGGTTACTCTCACTGACTTTTTAATCCAAAAATGCAGGTGTGTTTAACACATTACTATTGCTGTCCCCCTGGAGACCAACTTTTGTCCTGGTGCCTTGTCACAGTGGACCAATGTGAGGCAGATGGTAACGGCCTAGGTGTTAACACGTCCCTCCAAAACTAAACCTTTGGTTGTATGGGCATTCACTGCCACGCTTGTGTACAAATCGGCCTGGCATAGATGACTAAAGCCAAATCTTGCTCTCAGTACATGAGCCCCACACCTTGTCTCTTCCATTTCCAAACAATGTTTGCACGTTCATAAGTGCAAACAAAACTTTTATTTACTCTGCTCTGGTGTTCTGCTTACTGAAGATACCTCCTACCATCACTATACCACCTGAGAAAAATAAGCACTCAAATCCTGCTGCAATGTCTACTTTGCGGGTTCAGTGTCAGTGCAGCGGCGGAGCTCCCTCAGTCACGTCCGCGCTGCTTCACATCCCGGCCACGCCCCGCGGGTTCAGTCTTTGAGGATGATGCTGAGCATTACAAGATGTTTGGTTAAGTCATCACAAGACACATACTGGTATATTATGTGTAAAACCATATAATTCTGACATTGCTTCTAAAGCCGCCTTCCAAATTTACACACTGTAGTGGTGTACACATTATTAAATCTGGGTGCTATGTGCAGAGGACAGCTGCAGAAGTATATAAATCTAACCTGGCAGCATTCTGTACACAATGCCCAGCTTCAGGGCACTGTAGAGAGGGAGAAGTGCAACTCCAGCAGTACAGCTCTCTGGCTGCATCACTTGTCCACACTTCACTGTTCTCTCAAAAGAAAAATTACAAAATATTTTCTGAATGAACACCAGACATTGTGATTGGAGGAGACATGTCATATTGCCACCCCCTCTCCTCCAATCACAGAATGTCTTGCATTCTTAGTGGTTAGTGAAGAGGGTCTGGAGTGCTGTCCTAGAGTTGAATCTCTTCCTCTTTTGGGTGCTGTGTATAGGGAACAGTGTGCTCCAAGCAGCCCCCCCCTAGTGCAGTATGTAAATGATAATTTTGCCTGGAGTGTGGCTTTAAGGAAGCATTGTACAAAATATATACCCCTCCATGATAGACGTTTGTATTATACAGCTCTCCATTCTATATGATGTGGGAAGAGCTGTGAAGAATGACGCAAGTAATTGCATTTTAGGCAGAAGTTAGTCATCAGTAAAAGAGCGCTTACGCCTTTTTAGGGAAACATTTTTTTTAAATTGCAGTGGTGTCCATATCATCACAGCTCAATTCTCTCACTTCAGCTAGGAGCATGCTCCTCCATAAAAGACAATATGGAGTCATGGGCAGCCTGTTGTGGTGGGGGGTATCTGGTCTTGCACATTGATCCTGGATGCGTTGGCATGAATGTGGATCTTTGGGTGAAAACACTGCATACAAAAAATAGACAGCTTTTCCACTGCTATTACCAGCCTACAGAAAGAAATGATCATTCAACAACCATAACGTACGTGTGTGTGTGTGTGTGTGCGTATATAGTTTTACCAGTGGAGCTTAGGTAGCAGTCTTGGGATTCAACAGGTGTAATACAATTTCTTGCCCTTCCAGAAGAAAATACTGCTCCATGATCCTTTAATTGCAGGCCTCCATACATGTGAACCCCTGGACAGTTAATCACATGATCTCTATCAGCCAATCTAATCTCTGATCCTCTTCCACAGAGCACAAA